ACTTTATGTACAAACTAAACCAATTGACGAATCAATTACGCCTCAATTATGAATTAATTGTGCTTAGAAGTGGCAAATGAACATGCTTGGTCAAATTTAAATAGACCAAAATAGATCAATTCAACAAACATGAATGATCGTGTCTACTTAAATTTTACTTGGATAAAAATGGGCTGGTCATGTTAGGCGAATTGGATCGTTGCCTTTTTAAACAAATGTAAAAGCTAATATAATTTTTTGATAGGAAATTAAGCAATTTTGTTTTGTCTTATATTACCTTCGTCATTAGGAAGAAATTTTCTTAACACCTAATGAAGTTCCAACCTAAGGTTAATTAAATAATAATCAAAAGACGAAGGGTAAATTATTTTCAAAGAAAACATGTGAAGTTCACTAATTTTACTCTCTCTTTCTTCGGGGTCGATGTTGGGCTCTACGAAACATTTACTTCATATCAAAGGGTTTGAGATTGGAAATTAGACTTGCTAGTGCTTAACTTCATACCCCACATGTTTAAAGTTGATTTTGAAGCGATTAAACTTTAATTTTTTATAAATTTTAATTATTTTTTAGATATGTATCCTAAAAGCGTATATTGACTAAGTTAGACAAGGTACAAATTGATCCCGTCACCTTTACTTGTGCCCAAACTAAGTAACAAAAATAATAATCTATTTTCCTTCACATTTCCTCTACTTTCTTTGCTAGTACTTCCTTTGTCTTACTTCATATGACATAATTTTTTAGGGCCAAATTATCTTTCTTTCGATGTAAATTTGGATATAGAATCTTTAAATTCAGTGCAATAAAAGTTATATATACTTTAAGACTACATAAAAATATACTATAAATTATACTAATAATTAATAATTCAAAATATTTAAAAAGCATATAAAACAGTCATGATAAATATAACTCGTGTAACTCTCTAAATAATAAACTATATCACATAAAGAATATCATTTCCCCTTAATTTCTCTTATTTCTCTCACTATCAAAGCATAATATATATATTTGAAAAAAAAAATAGCAAAAACAAAAAAGGAAAATGAGAGAGGATACAAACGTCTTTTGAAAAGAAAAGGGCAGAAAAGGAAATCCAGAAATCATACGCATTATATAGCATGATAAAGTTATCGGCAACAAAGCAAACCCTCCATCTGTCTTTCATTTTACTGCCCTTTGCTTCTCCCTTCCACTGCGGCTAGGGTTTTAGCTCACTCTTCAAGGTTAGCTCTCTCTACCCCCACCCACCCCACCACCCTACTAATCTCTATAATGGGTCTCCAATTTTATGCTTTTCTTAATTATTCTTGTTTGTATGCATCTTTATTTGTACATATCTCGAATTCTGTGTTAGTATGGCTTTTTGAAGGGAGATATTATTGAAGATTAGCTTGTATTTATATTATTGATGGGTTTTGATGAATCTGTTTTATTGATTGGATTATGGTTTATGTTTATTGGATCTTAATCTGTTGAAAAAGTTGCTTGAAAAAGTTGCAACCTTTACTCGGTACATGTGCTAGGTAGCACGTACCCCGTGGAATTAGTGTACATGTAAGCTGGCCTGGACACTGATTATAGGAAAAAAGAGGTAAAAAAGACTTCTCAATTGTGGAAGGAAAAAAGAAGTTGCAAACTTTATGGAACTTTGACTGTTTTCTCCTGTACTGAACGTGTGTGTATATGGTACAATAAGGATATTTTTGCTTTACCAAATTTTTCTTTCTGTTTGATAATGCAGTTCAAGTGTAAAGTGAATTTGGACATCATTTTGTAATTTTTTAATTAAATTTTACATATTCTTGAACTATATTAAAGGGTTATTGGTGACAAATTTTATGGTTAAAAATATTCATAACATAGTTTAGAGCCATAGTTGAGGAAACTGGTATTTACCTCTAAATATGAGAATATTGTTCTTGGGGGTAATGATATACTTAAGATGTTCTCTAGTCTTGCTTTTGTTTAGTTGGTACCTACTGTTAGCTCTAATATTCGTGTATGCTCTTGTGTTTCAGACTCCTATAGTATTCATTTTAGTTTCAACTTTGTGGCTGTTGTTTAGTGTAGTTTATACTTGGAGGTTGTTACATACATACTGTGCCTAATGAAATAGAATGCAATGGTAATGCAAGTTTTTTAATACATTATTTTGTTTTTTGAGAAATATTGATTTTTGGTGATTTTCTTGGACAGATGAATGTAGAAAAGCTGCGTAAGATGGCCGGTTCGGTCAGAACCGGTGGAAAGGGTACCATGAGAAGGTCTGTTTATTTTTCTGTAGCTACTGTAACTAGTCGACTACACCACATGGGAATGTGTAGTATACTCTATTAAAAAAGAATGTCTGTGTTGTTGCAAACTTAAAAGATATAGGTTATGCAGTTTATTAAGGTCAGAACTTAAGTGAAGAAAAGAGGAAAAAGGAGGGCTTATTGTATCCTTTCTTATCTTAAAAAAGGGGAAAATAAGAGCTGGATCACTCCTCGGGCAGTCGCTAACCCTTGCGCCTTCCCTTCTGCTTACATCATTTCTTTGTGAATGCTCCAACACCTTATCAAGAAAAAAGGGGGAAACAGCGCCGAATGAGTGCTTCTTCCTGTCATGTTTTTAAATAGCGCTGAATGAGTGCTTCTTCTGCAGAAAGAAGAAGGCCGTTCACAAAACAACTACAACCGATGATAAAAGACTACAGAGCACCTTGAAAAGAATAGGTGTCAATGCCATTCCTGCTATTGAAGAAGTCAACATTTTCAAGGAGGATGTTGTCATCCAATTCATTAACCCCAAAGGTATCGAATATATTTGTATTTTCACTTAGCTTAGTCATTTGTCATTTGCCATTTTAATAACCTTTTTTTTTCTGAATTCTTTTCAGTTCAAGCATCTATTGCTGCAAACACATGGGTAGTTAGTGGTTCTCCCCAAACAAAGAGTACGTGTTCTACTTTTTCCTAATGCCTTGGTTTTACTTGGTAGCTGCTACATTGTGAATAGAACCACAGCTTACCTCTATAAACTATGTCCAAAAGAAAAAAATAGCATTTTCTTCTGTTGGTTTTCAGAAGGGTTCTTGATTGTTTGAGGATATGCGCTTCCTTACTGATTACCTCCTTTTGCTTGATGTTTTGAGCACATATTAGTATTAAAACTCTTGGAATTGGTGATAAGGCGCTCATTCTTGTTTCTTGTTTGATGCATGACAATTTCTGAGCTATATTTCTTTCTTCTTGCAGAATTGCAGGATATCCTTCCTCAAATTATTCACCAATTGGGTATGTAGTCATTATTTTGACTGCAGGTTAGATATGACCACTGTTTTTGAACAACTAAATATATATTGATTGTTCCAATTTTACAAAATTTTCAGGTCCTGATAATTTGGAGAATTTGAAGAAGTTGGCTGAGCAGTTCCAGAAGCAGGGTGCTGCTGCTGGTACAGGTGAGGCTGCAGGTGTTGCCGCAGCACAAGAAGACGACGATGATGATGAAGTACCAGATCTCGTGGCTGGTGAAACTTTTGAAGGTGCTGCCGAGGAGGGTCACACTTCTTGAAGTTTTTGTGAAATTTTGTGGCATCCCTTACTTTCAATGTTTTGATGTCAGTTTTACCTTTTAGCTTTTGAGTGTTCTATTTGATGTGTGACACATCTCAAAAGAATTCCTTAAATGCTTTTACTAGTAAGCTACTTTGCCCTTCAAAGCCTACTCTACTATGTTAGAATAGTATGTGATGATCTGTACTATCGAGTCTTTACTGGCCTCCCGAGCCATCGCAGGTGATAATTATGGTACAGACTTATTTTCTTCACGATTTAAAAGGCCAATGCTAATTGAGTCTGAATTTCATTGCGGTGCTTAGTAACTCAGAAGGTAAGCAGTAACAGTTCTCAGATTGCTAGGGCAGCTCTCTCAACCGATGACTTATGAACTTATAAGTTGCAATTGCAGTGAAGTAGAACATTTGTTCTTGTTAAGTTGTTCACAAGTTTTGTTGAATGGACGAATCACGCTTGTTTCAATTTCTCACAAGTTTTGCCGCAAAACTTGGTACTGTGTTCATTCACCTATCTTGTTGAATTGTTTACAAATTTTGCCGAATAAATAAATCATGTCTGTGTTGTACATATGTTCACTCAACATTTGTCAACGATTCAATAGCAGAGGCATGAAGGGTGAACAGTGTGGACTTCACAGACGACATAAAAATAAGTGGAGTAATGCTCCAGTTTGTCATCGATTCAAGTGGTCAGAAAATAATTCTCACTGACACTGAATCATTCTTTCATATCAAATTGTCTAGTAAGTCAGAAAGAAGAATAGCCTCTCTTTTAATGTACACAACATTTATCTACATCAACAAAGAAAATCACAAATCAAGAGCTGGTTCCCAATGACAATGTGTTTCCAAATAGAGCAAGTAACAAAACAGTAACTGCGTGCTGTCATAAGCTATTGGCGTTGGTGACCAGAAAACAAGATGAAGCGAGTAGAACGTAATATGCCTCAATTGTCAGGCAACTATGCGGTCTAAGCATTAATAAGGTGACCTAGCAGTCAATGAAATGAATTGAAAGTTATGAAAAATCAGTGTCCAAATACAAGCAAGGTAAAAAGCCAATCAGGTTATAAACCAAAGTGGATAGGAGTTACCCATACATGCGAATGGTGAGTGGTAGTTGGATTATAGTTATGAAAAATCAGGGTTCAATTCTTAGTGCGGTTAAAAAACGTTAGGCGATTTCTTCTCATCTATCTAAGACAGGTGGGTAGCCTAATGAAATAGTCATGAGCATGCAAATGAGTCTGCGCGTCATCATTTATCAAAAGGAAAATGCCTTTTATACATTTCCTTTCAGAGAAGTATCACATAACTAAGTTCTAATGTAACTCAATGAGTAAGACAGATTTGTAAAACTCAATAAGCCAGAACTCCAAAGTAGAGAATAAAATATATTGCAAAACAAACAAGCATGCACCATTGCGCACTTGCATCCGAGACAACACATCACATTCAAAATTTAATATTGCAGGAAACATTATGTGAAACTTCTCTCAAGATTCTCATGCCACAGAAGGTTAAGCACCGAAAAATAAATGCCCCGGTTACCTATTCATGTAACTGGAATTGATCTGCTAAAAAAAGTTACCATCTTGTACACTATTTAATCATAAATCCTACGGAAAAATGAAAACTGTACATGTATATGCTAAAAAGAAGAATTATGCTTCTATATTTGCCTGGAACAACCTCCTTGTTTGTCATTTGTTGATTTGTCTTAAGAAAAGGATGTGAAAAATCACCTTTTCTCCTGTAATTCTGCAACAGGTACAAAGATAACCGAAGATTCATCTACACGAGAAGCATCTGCTCTTCTAAATCTGCGATTTGGAAGCCTTAGTAAAATGTCCTGTAGTCTCGCTATTTTGTCCTTGATTCCGCAAAGCTTCTGCATCTCAGCTTCAGCTTCTTGGATTCTTTCCCTTTCCTTGGAATTGAGTTTTCTCCTTTCCTTTTTTGATCTCTCTCTCAGTAGTTTCAAGCTCACATCATCGCCAAATTCTACAGTAGTCTGCTTGGAACAGAAAATTCTTAGAACACAAATATAACGTATTCAAATAGACTTCTCAAGTGAAAAATGACTAAAACGGGAAAACGATTTGTTTTTTCAACTAGAGTGAACATTGAACAATAACTAAGAAGGAATACGGGAAATGCTACTTGTATAAAATTCTCAGCGAAAACTGAACTAACTTCTAAAGTTTGAATTTTGAAATAGGAAATAGCAAGCAAATTGTGCTTGAAATAGCATGCATTGAGATAAAAACGGGAGGGCTTCCACGATTCCGTTCATAGATTGGTTGCCTATTTCTGCAGCTAAATTTGCATTCATTATTTTTTGAAAACCTGTAGTACATGTCACTTCAGTCTTGGTACAAGATCCTCTAACCGGCAAAAAGTATCTTCTCACCCAGATGATAAGCTATTTTCTTTTTCTTATACTCTTTTGCCTTTGTTAATTTCCTTTTAATTCTTCTTTTAAATAATTTTCTTTTTCTGATAGTTAAACCCACATGATAACTTTCACTAGAGAGAATATGATCCCGAGCTAAGAAATGAAGCGCAAGCAAAGAATATTTTCTTATACTTCAGAATAGAAATCAGTCATCCAATATACTATAGCATATATTTATTAATGTAGAGGAAGACCAAATAGAACTGCACATGGGTTCTCCGCTAAAACGTACCTCTAATTTGTCTATTAATGGTTTTACGGCTTTTTTGCCATGCTTTTTCTTGGAAGTACTGATCATCAAGTTGGCAGTTTCTTCATTAGGTGATCTCTCAAGGTTACATGCATGGGCTGCATTTTCTTCTTCATCCCTTGACGAAATCTGATCTGCAGGTTTATCCTTTACAGTCTCAGATACACATCCTTCTGATGTTGTAGGACTAGTAACTTGGCACGGTTCTGCGCTCTCAACCTGCTGATACCCATGAATGTAAAAGGACTTCAGAACAGAAATATTCAGCTCTGGGCCAAATGTACTTCAGCCCCTGAAGTTTAGAGTTCATAAAGTAAGCCCGTAAAAGAACAGAAAAGTAACTGATAAAATGATAATGCCAAAGGTAATGTAATGATCATCATAATCATGATAAAAGCAGAAATGGCAAGAAAAAAGACGGAGAAGGCTCTGAGAAACTTAAGGACTAAAATTGAAGTACGGATCATCAAGGAGAATCGGAAGAGCTGGGTAACTTAAGGACTAAAATTGAAGGACACCTGTACCTTTAGCTCAATCCTTACCTTTCGAGCTTTAAGAGCCATATAACGTGCATTCTTGAACCATTTGTTAACCTAGAAATAGCATGAAAAAGATAAATAAGCAAACGGCAACAAAATATAAAGCTAATAGTTTAAAGTAGCTTCCACCAACCTATTCCTCAACAGACATCTCATCAGGCCTTAAGGTTTAGGCTTTCGAACATTCAATTTATACCCGAACATGTAACGATATCAGTTGCTAGAGTAACACATTAATCTTCGTGGATTATTGACCAATTAAGTTGCCAATTTCTAACAGTTTTGGCTTCAAACGTTGGCTTTAATAATAATGGAAGATTACAGTACTACAGGAATTAAACTTCCAGGTGTTTATCAACAAACTAATATAATCATTACCTTCTCCAATTCAAGCCCTAGCTGCGTGGAGAGGTTCTCCCTCATTTCTCTAGATGGAAGTTCATTGTCAGCAAATGCACGGCGAAGTTCCTGGTAAAGCTCAGAAGTATTGAACGGTTAGAATAGTGTAAAAGATGTTATCTCTTTGATGAACAGCGAATAATGCAAAGAAGCATATCTACCTCAACTGCATCAGGAGGAATCCTGAATATTGCTCTCTTGGCTGGTTTATCAAAAGACTCTTTTTCCTCATCATCCGCTCTTTTTTCAGGACGACTTTTCTCACTTTCTAAAAGGGTTATAAGGGTGCTTGCAGCATCTGATTCAGACTCCTTTCTTCTACGCTTTCTTTTACCTGGACCCCAATCTTCGTCTTCACTATTTTGCTCGATTGCAGGAGCATGCTTTCCAAACATTTCCTGTGCCACATAAGAGCATCATTGGTTTCTCGCTAGCAGCATGCAGTAGAAAGTCAAATAGCAGCTAATGGACACTAATGTACTCACATCATTTAATTTGATATAATCAACAGCTTTTCTCTGTCGGGGCCCAGATAGAACTTCGAAGTCAGTCGTCTCCTCATAATCTAACCCAGCAATCTGTTCAGAAAGATAATCTTTTCCACTGCTTCCGTCTTCTTGCTTTCCTGTTAAGGCTAACAATTCATCCTCAAGTGATCCCAACATGCTTGCACTGCTTGCTTCACTGGAAGAACCACTCTCAAAGCTGTCAGTACTACTATGACTATAAGCAATTTTTTCGGGATCATAGTCATCATCTTCAGAGTCATCAGATGGCCAGTCTTGTTCTGGGCATAACAGGGATTCCCCACCTTCGGGCAGAAGAGCTTCTTCCTTAAAGATATCCTGCATTCATCGAATAGATACGTAATCATTAAATACTGATCAATAGATATTTCTTGGAGGGGTGAAAGTTGATTTTATGAAGAGTACAACAATGTATTACTCAACCTCCCAATTACTATCCATAGCAAAGTGGGTGCCGATATGAGCATTTGTTGCGTCTATTATTTCCATCTTACATTTGCAAAATTTGCAAAACCAGCCTTCATCATCTGGCGGTACTGCAAGTTAACAGAAGTTACGCGCTGCTCTGCATAAGCAGTGGAAGAAAAAGGAGCAATAAAAACACATATTCAAGCTAACTTACTATTTTCTGTTGATAGTGGAGGATCAAGACACTTCTGATGGAACGCGCAGTTGCATGTACCATCACAAAGTATGATATCATTGTCAGGGAATGCCTCTTGCAATTTGCATTTGGCACAGATAATCTGAAAATAAAGCAGGAAAAATCTGAACTCTGTATGAACTGTTTAATACTTTTCTATTTTTGGTGTAAACAGGAGTATCTAGAAGAGAGTGAATGTATTTTTGATGTTTTAAGACCAATTGTGAGTCTTCTGATGAAGTTCTCCCTCTGATACTTTCTTTGTAATTACTGGATGGTTACACTGATTTAGTGTAATCAATTTTATACTTAATACAAATATGTTACCTTTTCAAAAAAAAAAAAAAAAAAAAAATCTGAACTCTGTATCCAAGTTTGGTTATCTGTCTATTTATGCATTTTCCCCCTATTTCAGCTTTTGATGCTGCTATGAGTTTGTAAGAGGGTAGGGAAAAAGGGAAATTGTGCAAACATAGAAGTATGCGCAAGCAAAAACATGAAATGAAGTGTAATAAATAGAAAAGAGAATCAGCCACTCATGGTACTGGGTGACACGCAAGAGTTAATTAACAGTCGAAGACAAAAACGTATTGTGAAAGGATGCTTACATGTTCATGATGGACAGATCCATCAGGAGCAATAGCAGAATCCTCTATCTGCCCAGGAGAGCTAAGCAAATCCAGACGGTGAACTATCTCCCTTATTCCAAGCTTGCATTTTAATATTTCTTTCTTCGCTCTTTGTAATTCTCTTTCTGGCCTAATTTTTTCTCGGCTGAATGAAAAAACGAAAGTTGTCACTAGTCACATGAGCTGCTCACTTGAAAGCAAAAAGTTATACTAGCATTTACAAATTGAATATGTCTAAAGAGGGCACTGAGTGTAATTGATCCTTTCATTATGCTGATTCTACTGTCAGAGGTTTAATTTTGGGGTAGTCACTTGTGGAGTAACAATATTCGGATTGCAGGTCAGATAATGATGGGCATGGAAGTTGTTACCCTAGTTTAAAACATAAATACATCTGGACTGGAAAAAAATTGTATCGTGTTTTCTCTTGTCATATCCGAAGTCATCGCTGATGCTCAGATCCATATTAATGTTTTAGATCTTTACTATTTTTTTATTTATAATGGTGGTGTCCGGTCCAACTTGTGCGTAGCATCGTCTACTATTAGAAGTAATCAATCTAATATTTCCCTCATTGTTCCAATCTCAAATTTGATGCATATCGTCTCTTATTTCTCAAACCACATAAAGGATCTTACTCACTATTTTCCTTTTTCGATTGAACTTGCTCTTTTTCAGCATCAATATAATCATTAGCAATGAATGGTCAAAAATAAAGAAACATCACAATTCACAGCTATGTGCTTATACAATGTTCAAGATCCATTTGGCCAGAACAAGACCAACCTCGGATGGAAATCCAAATAGATCTCTCTATCTATCTATATACACACACACACATACCATAAATAGAGCGCGAGAGAGAAGAGCTACATGTGGTTTGGGTAAATGACTGAAGCAGTAGAGAAGATTAGAAATAATTACGTCTGTAAAAGGTGCTAGTAACACACGTAAAGGCTAACTTCAGAGAAAGTGGCACGACTCACGAGATGGTTTGGCCATGTCATACGCAGACCTCTAAAATGCACAGGCTAAGAGATGTGACACTATAATGATTGAAAATGCTGAAAAGGTACGAGATAGACCTAAAACTATTTGAGGAAAATTGCCTAAAGACCTACAATCTCTTGAAACCTATTCAAACTTAGTGAATAAGAACATAATGGAAGCAAAGAATTTATAAAGGAGATACCAACTAGTCAGGCTTCTGTTGTTGAAACACTATGTACATTTGTCTTCTAATATCTTGCAACTCAAAACTCGAACAGGATAATCTTTCCCGCTATTTGAACTAACTATACATTAATATCTAAAATAGAAGGTCGATCCACTTTCTTTTCCAATTTAATATCAAAATGGTACATCTTTTCAACTTGCAATGTTAAAAACCATACAGAAGTTGGACCAAGATATTCCGCTTGAAGCAGAGCAAACTACATGAGCTATTATGAACAACATGGAGTCCCTCATTAACAATGGGCTGAAATTTTCTTTCTGCTAAACCTCTTACTAGAAGCAGTCTTCCCAATACTACACTCTAACTTAAAGAGCAGATAGTGATATTTGCATAATAACTTTATACCCTTCAGTATATCAGTTAGTCAACCGGTTGAAGCAACTGCCCAGCACCATTAAGATTTAACGGTAAAGGAATGTTGCATATCTTTAGTGCCAAATATTTCAAGTTCCTCAATTTCTCATTCTTTTAGAGCACAAGACAAGTTTCAAAAAATTACCTAGAAAGGCTTATTAGATTAGAGCATTCAACTAAAAGCTTAAAGCAAAAGGTTGAAACTTTTTAGTTAATGGTTAACGAGGAAACAAGTCCATCAAACATGCATATTTATCACACCTTCGACCAAGCGGACACAAACATTTTACTTGTGCAATTTGTTTCTTCAGTTTCTTACCATTTGAGGACCAAAACAGTTCAGATACTCGGTATAGAGTCTCTAGGCAAGTAAATCCGTCTATGTAGATAAGAGGGATAAGGTACGCACCTCTGACCTTTCCAGCCTTCTGCAGAATAAGCATCAATAAGGTTCTGCTCTAGCTTCATCTTAATCAAGAGGTATCTCGTCCTCCTTTGTAAACGTGAAACATCATCGGGATCTGCATTATGTTTTCTCTTCTTCCTTCTCCTTCTCTTTAACTTCTCAGACCCGGTATCCACGTTTTCATGTTTTAAGTTGACTTTTGAGTTGCAAGCTTGAAGCTCTTCTCCTCGACAGCTCAATTTAGACTGCTTCTTTGACGATTTAGCTTTTTGCGGAATTTCCTTTCTCTTACCTTCACCAGCATCTGTTCTCTTTGATGAAGAAACACGAGCAGCCCTCCCATGAGATTTTGATTTCAGCTTTGATCTCTTTTTGTCTAATCGTCTCAATGCATCTTTTACTTGTGACAAGTTTGCAACCGTTTTGTGCATATCTTTATTTGTTTTCCCAGCCATAATAGTTTGTTGCTTGACATGAAAAGTCCTGCATGGACAAGAGGAATCAGTGATCAATGACCTCTGAGGCAACGCGACAAGTCAATTGTAAGTCTAGTTTCAATATTCACAGAAAAGAAGAAGAGAGAAAAAGAAAAAAAGAAAGAAAGAAAAACTGTGTACTGGCATAGTAACTCTTAGTTAACTGAGAAGCATGAGTGCAGTATACCTATCAATTAGGAGACTAAGTCCACAAATCGGAAGAGCCTAAAATGTGGATGTTCATCTCCATGAGAATCTTTTCTGCTGCAGGCAAGAAATTTCATCTACGTTAAAATTGTTAACTTTCCTCGACTGAAGCTTCAATGAAGCATGATAAAGAATAAGCAAGACATCTGAGCAAATACCAATATATACACATAGATGAACACCCAGCTAATAAATAAGAGTGAATTATGCTTATTGAAATATCCACGAAAAGAAGCAACCTTCTTGAAAACAAATAGTAGATACCTACTATTAAAGTAAAACTAGTTTACTCTTGGATCAGATTGGGTTTTGAGACACCAGAGAACTGTACTGAAAGTTATCAGACAATGTAACATGCCAATGGATAATGACTGTTCGACAATGGACTTGTGTTTTTCTAATTCTTTTCTTCTGGTATACAGTTACAATTGATTAATTGGGGAAAAAGTTGAAATGGGGTATCGGCTCATCAAATACAAATCATCAATCTAATAAATCAAACTCTCGGTCAGGATCCAATCTTTCATTAACTCTTCCCCCAAATAAACCCCAATTCAAGTCACTCTATGCATAACCAGCAAAGCTCAATGTATTCAAGAAACACACACAAAAAAAAAACTTACAACAATGATTCATGTATCACTTAGTGTAATAACAAAAGGTGAAAACTTTACAAATACCCATAAAATAATTAACCAAGAATTCTCAAAGAAACCAATAAACACACACATTTACACAGCAAAAAGTCCAAATTTCAACTCATGATCAACCAGTTCCCACCCCAACTAGGCACTACTCTGCACATTCAAGAAAACACAAAAGACTCAAACTTTACCAAAAATTCTCAAATAAACCAACAAAAAATCACATATAAACAACAAAAGATTCAAACTTTACATAATTAATCAAATGGGTATCCTTAAAAAGATGGAGAAACCAAATGGGTTTACCTTATAATGGAGGAAAGGAAAGATCTTGAGAGTAGCAGAGATTCATCAAACGGTTGAGTATCTCACTAGTCTTTTTGAATGCACAATTCTACCTTCTTGCTCTTTGAGAATTTGGATTAAGGAAGTACTTATTACTTTAGTGCTTCTAATTACTCAATCATAATGAATAATAATGGGAATAACAATACATGATTTATTGTTCATATATAGTACTACTTAATAATCCTCAGTAACTTGATATGCCTACCGTTTCTGTTTGTTTCTTTTCTTTAATCACTTCTAAGTATTGATGAGTTTCTTGTTTGGTTTTGGTAATTTTCTTACCACATTTAGCATTATTATATCTGGTTATATTAAATTTATGGACGTGAGAATGAAAAAAATCTTAGTGTAGAGCGTTTTCTTTTAATGATCTCATATAAATTTGAATCTCGATCAATATTAAAAAAATGTCACGTAAATTTTAATTAAGCGGCTCAATACAAATACCAAACACCAAGCAGAAAACAAAGTAATCAAGTTCCTTGTCACAGTTTATTAGATTATACTATGATAATACTATGTCTTACGAAGTGTAATTGATACTTGCTTATGAGTTTGTCCTAAATTACCTTCTAAGCGTTGATAAGTAGGGGGTGTACGTCGTACAGATTAATTAGTTTTTACTTAAAAAGAATTAAAATACTATGCCAATTTTTTCAATATTTGCTCGTGCTTTTTATTTTTTATTTTTTTGTGATCACACACACAGACTCACATATCATATATTTAAAAGTTTTATGTAATAATTTATGTTGAAAATAGAAAATAAAAGAGTTTTTTAGCATAAAAAAATATTTATTTATTTATAATAACTAGAGTACGTGCAGTAGCGAACTACCGTCATTATAATTGCTTCGATGGGCTATAGTTTGCCTCTTAGGGCATTATCATTACCTAAGGCTGCCAACTTACAACACAAAATATTTGAAACTTTCCTTACACGAACAAAACCTTCCTGGTCTTTGTGATAGGCACTGATTCAAGAGGTGAAACAAAAGTACACAATTTATTATAACTAGGCTGCATAAGAGCTTCATTTGCCAAGAGATGTGCCATACTATTTCCTTCACAAAGTTATGTTTCACCACGATCTCCCCCATTTGAATTGCCTTCTCCAGTAATCACCTGCAATCATAGATTAAATCATTGTAAGTTGGATAAACATCATGCAGAAATCTTATAATTTCCGTGGTGTCTGTCTCCACTTCGATTGTGATTATTATTTTCCTGACAATGATTTGATGTGCTTGCTTCAGTGCTTGTAATTCTACATGTATGCCATTTCCCACTAGCCCTTGTTGTTTCAGATAGCTTCGCTTATTCCTCCCTATAGGCTGTCGCTTTTAAAAGCACCATAAATATTGATTTTGTACCAACCCTTTGGAGGAGCCTGCCAGTTGATGCTAATATTTTTCTTGAAGTTACTAGTAGTAGGGTTAGAAATTAAGAGTTTGTATTTTATAGCTTGGTCAATAATCCATTTTATATTAATACGGTTATTAGTATAGTTTTGGTTATTATGGTTTCTATTGTTCTATATAGTCCACGGATGAATGGAAATAGTTCTTCCCATGTTACGTACTTGTTTCTTATGTTGATATTAACATTTTTCAACCTATCAACCCAGTGTGTTGCAGTAGTTTGAAGAGTTATATTCCATCTCATTAATTTCCAATATGATTTTACAATGTTACATTCCCAAAAGATGTGGGCTATTGTCTCATTTGTGTTCTTGCATACTCGGCAGTTAGGATCAATATTAACACCAATTTTACTAAGGTAGCCCTGCTTGGAAGTCTGTTATGGTAGCATTTTCACATAAACTTAATTTTATTAGGACATTTTAAGTCTCATATCCAATTGAAGTTATTATTTATGAGATTCTTGATTGTCAATTAACTTGTCGCAAGAACTTGTAGAAAACACGCCACTAGAATTTATACTCCATGGAAGATTATTGGGAGATCTAACAGGCTTGTTTGTGATTAGGGCATTAATGTTATTTATAATATTTCCTGGGAGTTCAAAATAGATTTTTCCCAGATCCCAGATTCCTTTATCACATATATCCTTTATTTTCAAATTGCTCTCTTTCATTGTTAATGGGCCAGTAATATTGCTCCTAAGGTTAGTAATGTTTGAAATCCAATTTGTGTCCCAAATGTTTAAATCAGAGTGTTGGTTTACCGTCCACCTAATGCCCTTATTGCAAAAGGACCATACTTTTAGGAGACTATTCCAAGTATGTGAACCACTTTTAGTATTTTTATTCCTCCCGTATTTATCAATTATAACTTTTGCCCAAAGAGAATACGGGTTGTTAAGGATTCTCCATACCAGGATGGTTAATAGAGCTAAGTTTTTTGACTTAGCTTTTCTAATACCTAAGCCACCATGAGCTTTTGTTCTGGCAATAGTGTCCCACTTAATTAAGTGAAGTCTTTTCTTCTCTGCAGTTGTATTGGTGGTGAAAAAGAGCTACACGTGGAATGTTAGACTGCTAACATGGCATAACACGTAAGAGTAATAGTATAGCAACATGTGGCAGTCTTATTTGATAGAGTAAGAAAAGGCATGGGAAGAAACACCCACGAGACAGTACCGGGCCTAACAGCTGGCAAAGAATGAATGAGTACTAGAAAGAAGGAAAGATACATGGACCGAAAAGAAATAAGGAAGGGGAATCATAACAAATATAAGGCATTTATAGCAATAAATGCATCGGTTATGAGAATCCCAAATAGAGGGCATCAATATCATTAATGCCCATAATTAGCATAAATTATGGGGGAAAACTGTTACTATTGTACTCCTATAAAGGCACATAATTTTATTTTTAACGACACATCTGAGATAATATTTAAACATACACTTTACTTTTCCGCTTTCTCGAAATTCTCTGCTTTGATCCAGTAATCAATTACTTCCTTATTCATTTTTATTTGATACTGTTGATAAAGTGAAGCAAAACTTGGTTATCAAAAGCCCGTTTTCTTCTAAAATTAGTCTTTGACCGAAAGATATATTTTTGGCTAAACAAATTGGTTCCGTTACTAGGAATTTGATAATCTTTTCACTTTCCAAATTTATTTTTCTGTCAAACAATCATGTCGATTGCCAACGACAACAACCAACTGAACCAATAAAACCAACAAGAGGGTGGAACTCCAATCTCTTCACCTCAAAACCTCAACACTCCCGAAAGGGGTCACCTCAAAGATCAACATCACATACGAATAATCAACAAGGGGACGAACAAACTGCCGAGGACGCATTAAAACAGCTAATTGCATAACATGTCAACAATGCTCTTCAAGCTTTCGTTAGTGGATTGCCAACTGTGCCACCAACTCCACCTCCAAACAACACTGCAACCATAGAAATCCAGCGAATCTCGCGATGGAAGGTCAGGTACCCCAAATAATTTTGATTTACAAAGTTTAGTACTAACTTTGCAGAAGCAGCTCAATGAGTAGAATGATCGCATAGAAGAAATACCTGGTGTGCCACCCGTGATTAAAAGAGTGGATATTGATAAATATTCACAACAGCCCTGGAAGCCAAGTGTTGCTCCCTTGCCAATTCCAAAAAAGTTTAAAATGGCCGATATTCCGAAGTATGATGGAATAACCGACCCACGAGATCATGTAACTGCGTTTACAACTGGCGTGAAAGGTAATGATTTAACCAAGCAAGATATTGAGTCGGTGCTGGTCAAGAAATTTGGCGAAACACTCACAAAAGGAGCACTAACATGGTATTCTCTTTTACCAAAAAATCCTATTGATTCTTTTGCTGAGCTTGCAGATTCATTTATAAAAGCACATTCGGGAGCTAAAAAAGTTGAAAAGGGGATGGAAGACATTTTCAAAATAATACAAGGAGATAAGGTGCTATTCAGGGAATTTGTGGATAGATTTCAGCGTGAAAGAATGATGTTACCGCGGGTGCCTGATAACTGGGCGGCCAGGTCGTTTGCAAGTAACTTAAATGAGAAAAGCTAAGAAGCCACAAGGAGGCTCAAGGTAAGCTTACGAGAATTCCCCGCTACAACTTGGAATGATGTTTACAACATGTATAGTACAAAGCTGCAAATAGAGGAAGACACTATCACTCAGTTACGGAGAGATGAAAGAACAAGTTCGAGGCGACCAGAAACTGAAAAAGGCCTGGTAAGAATAGGTACGAACCTTACATGGTACCAGAAAGACGGGATTCACGTTCTAAACAAGAAAATCTGAGGTATGGTCCTAGATCAAGAGATAGAGATGCGGGTTCATTATCCAAGTTTGGAAAAGAGCGAGATACGTGGGATAGCAATGTTAATACAAAGGCAATGATTGGTGATTATAGTTTCAATGTTAGCACTTCTGAGTTGGTAGCTGTTTTATGAAGTATGAGAGATAAGGTGCGGTGGCCAAAAGAAATGAGATCAAACCCTAGCAGAAGAAATCCAGATTTCTGGTGCGAGTTTCATAACGACCACGGTCATAAAACAGCAGATTGCAGATTGCTACAAGGTGAAATAGAGCATTTGTTAAAATAAGGTTATTTAACCGATTTGTTTAGTGAGAAGGGTAAGCAAACGTATATGAAGAATAGACAAGAGCCACCAAAACCTCCATCACCAAAAAGAACGGTTAATGTGATAAACGGAGGAGAGGAGGTCAACGGTGTGGCTTATACGGCTGCAAAAAAGATATCAAAAGTCACGGGTACCCACGAAAAGCGAGTTCGCATAGTTTTGGAAGAAGACAACATAATGTTTGATGATGCAGACGCATATGGTATGATGATCCCTCATAACAATGCACTGGTAATATCTTTACTTGTACATGATACTAATGTAAAACGAGTTTTGATTGATCCAGGTAACTCCGTAAATATCATTCTTTTAAGAGTGGTAAACGAGATGCAAGCTGATGACAAAATGGTGCCTAAAACACATACCTTATCTGGATTCGACAATTCAAGCGTGGTTACAAAAGGGGAAATAGTACTTACCATATTTGCAGAAGGAGTTGTCAAAGATACAAAATTTCAAGTGATAGATACAAACATGGCGTATAATATGATTCTCGGCAGACCTTGGATTCATGATATGGATGCCGTTCCATCCACTTTACATCAAGTTATTAATTTCCCTTCACAATGGGGGATTAGACAAATTCGTGGTGATCAGCAGGCTACTAGAAGTATCAATTCAGTGGCGGATTCGAGCGTAATGAACGATGGTGCAGACAAAAAATAGCA